CCATGAAATTTTATACATATGTATCTTACATAATAGAGAACCTACAAATAAAGTTTGAAAAAATAATAATTTTTTTCAGGCCCCGAAATAAAGGGAAAACAAAAAGTGAAAAGAGAAATAACAAATTAGGAAGTGGGAAAGCAAGTTTTGACACCACCATCTTTGCCGATTTTTCATTATTGTTTGGCTCCACAGAATGACTTCAAAATTGAGAGACAGATAGCTTACATAACAGAGAACTCGCAAAAAAAGAATCAGAAAAAAAAAATAATTTTTAGGTACCAAAATATTTTTTTGCGGGGTCCGAACCCCTTCGAGTTCGGGCCCCGTACGGGGACCCGAACGCCCGAACGTTCGGGGGTCAGCTTAGGGGCCTCCGTACGTTCGGCCTGGCAACCCTGTATATATATCGTCACAAACAGAACTGCCCGGTAAACCGTAGGGAGAGAGAGAGAAGAGGACAACAAACGAGGGGCTGTGACAAACTGTTTCGTCGGAGTTTCACTATATTTTTTATTTTATTTTTTCGCGCACCTGGCGCATCTTCCACAGCGCGCGCACTGTGCACTGCGCACCGCACTGCGTACAGCGTACAGCGCACAGTGCACGCGCTGGAATTCCAGCGCACAGCGCACTGCGCACCGCACCCCCAGACTGCGCACTGGTGCGCCGCAAGTATGGTATATATTTACCTAGTAATAAGTTGGAATTTATAGAAATACCATGGCTGTGCCGGCAACCGGCCGGTTGGACCGGCCCGGATCCAACCGGGATGGTTGGACCCCTGGTGGTCCAACCGGAATTCCGGTTGGGTCCAAAACTGGGTCAAAAAAAAAAAAATTTTTTTTTTGAAAACATGGTTGGACCGCGCTCACCGAGATCTCCCCGAATCCGCAAAGAAAACTTTGAACAGAGAAGTTCCGTTTGGGGGATTGGGGGGTTGGGGGGGGGGGTTATTTCAGGGGTTGAGGGTCGGGGGTTGGGGGGTTTATGGTGAGGGTGTTAGTGGTGGGGTTTCAGCATGGGCTTCAGCAGACATTGACAACAACGTACCTGGCTTTCTGCAAACGTTGATGTTCTGCCCAAGAACTTTGAAGAGGGGGGTGGGGGTGTTAGTGGCAGGGTAGGGACGGTACTTCCCACCCAAAAACTTTGAAAAGGGGAGTAGGGGTTGTAGTGTTAGGGGGTGCTTCGTGCAAGTTGCCCTCGATACTGGTAGGGTGATGGTCCTGAGTGCTGGTCACACTGGGGTGTTAGTGGCAGGGTAGGGACGGTGCTTCCCACCCAAAAACTTTGAAAAGAAGGGTGGGGTTATAGTGTTAGGGGTGCTTGTCACCGCTGTCTGGTGACTGCCCTCGATACTGGTACGGCGATGTCCTGAGACTGAGGTAGGATAGTAGGGATAGGGGGTGCGCTGAGAGCATTAACGTGGGGAAGGGTAGGGAAGGTGGCCTATCCTGTCAGGACAACCACCGGCTACCGCTGCCAGCAATCACTGTGGGTCTAGTCCTTGGCCTCAACAACACCATGGGCTAATAAAAAAAAAAAAAAAAAAAAAAAAAAAAAAAAAAAAAAAAGATGCGCTACAGCCAACCGGGGGGGAACCGGCCCGGTAGGACCGGTCCGGTTCCGGTTGGGGGAGGACCCCCCGGTCCTACCGGGTTTTCAGCACTGAAATACTTAAATCAACAAAAACATTCACAGATCAACCTGAAACAACTTTAAAAGAAGCTCTTCAAGAATTTACAGAAGATTCCCCTCCCCCCCCCCCACCCCCCCCCCCCCCCCCCCCCCCCCCCCTCCCCCCCCCCCCCCGTTTTTATGGTTGGGGCGTTGGTTCCTCTCCTTGCTCGCTTGGGTTGTCCTGTCGTCATTGACGAATCGATGACGATTGACCCAGAACCAAACTTCCATATTAACCTCCCTGAGTACTGCAGGGCCATCTTAGTCCGAAGGAGGTGGGCGGCAATGGGTGGAGTAATTTGATCACCCATTCCATGTGGAGGTTAGGGGCCTCCTGCTTGGGGTCTACTGGACCCAGACCTCCGGATTGTGGTTTCCTTGTGACGTAGTGTCAGGCCACCTTATTCAGTATCTATGGGCCTCGCTCCACTACTCTTGAGATGTGCAAAACGAGAGTGAATCTTCCGCTAGAACATGGAAAGACACACCGCCACGATTTATGTCTATTGTGCATGTCAAGAATAGTGGACCGAGGCCCTATATATATCTCAGCAATTTTTTTTGTATATGTTGTACCCAACTCACTCTTCATGTGGTTGTTTCAACTTGTTTGAATCAATTAAACTTAAGAAGACTCGTTGACTTCAGTCAATCAGTACAGGACTTCTTGCTTTGGTCCCACGTTCGAAGGAAGCATCTGACCCTTGGACCGTAGGTTCTTCACCCGGTCATTGTGGTTGTGTTTGGACTGAAAGATAGCCCAAATACAGCTGTAATGACCGTACGTTGGATTTGGGTGACGAAGGTATAGGTTCGTTCAGTGCCTCGTCAGGCGAAGACCATGCAGAGCCCAAATAACCTTAATAAAGCTATGAGAACTTGAGAAGACTGTTTCGTGGGTGATCAAAAGCCTGCCCTGCAGGGAGGCTTGAGCTTTCCTGCAGGGGATCTAATCTGTTTATTGTCTTAGCCACTACCGTCGTCACCCAGAGAGAACACCAGGTCATTATTGCCGTATCTAGACATAAAGGTGCACCGGATGCAGCTACAATGACCAGGCGTTGCCGTATCTAGACAGAAAGGTGCACCGGATGCAGCTACAATGACCGGCCGTTGCCGTATCTAGAGAGAAAGGTGCACCGAATGCAGCTACAATGACCGGGTGTTCTATTCCGGTGAAGATGGCGGTAGGCTCTGGCCCATGCTGCCATACTAAAGCATCAGGCTGAGAGAAAAGCTTGTGTATGAATCTGTTGCATTGAAATTTCAAATTTCGGATAAGCATAGCTTTTTTGTTGCTCAAAATTTCTGATAAGCACTTCTCAGTACCCACAGCAGAATGAATGAAGTCCACACAGAAACCAGCAGGATTAAGCCTAGTGAAAAAAAAAAAAAAAAAAAAAAAAACCATTACCATCAAAAGTCCCATCGAACTCGGAATCGCCGATAGCCGCCATGAAGCGGGGCATCATGTACTCCTTTTCCACTCGCTGCCTTGCCTTCCACTTCACGTCTTTCATAATTTCCTTCTTTGAGTAACCCAACTTCCTGCAAAAGCATACAAAATACACACCGCACTAACCCTTAATGAATTGCTTGCCCGCTTTTCTAAACCATCAGTATTTCCTCTGGTTCGATGGGGTACATGGTGGGGACCACCTGGCACTTTTCTCTGGGGCTGGAAACACGCTGCGTGCCAAAAAAAGAAAAAAGAACCGGAGTGGGCCTCCTCCTCCTCCTTTTGCCTGGTGCCGCCATCCATTTTGCTCTGGCGCCGGAGCCCCGAAAGTCGCGGCAGCATGCCAGCCGCCACTTTGAAAATATGCCTGGGAATTTGGGAAACACTACTTGTGGTTTTCAGTTCTATAAACTCTCATTTATTATATATTTAATATTATTTATATTTTTTTACTCAGGACACTCACTCAGGTGCCCGCCCGAGAGCCCACACCTTCCCTGGAATGTTGCTCAGCCATCCCAGGCAGGTCGGGTACCGGGTAGTCCCCACCCAGTGCCAACATCCAAAAAAGCCCACCCAACCGGCAGGCTGCCTGGCAGCTACAGGTCCTTTTGGGGCGCCGCCTGAAAAAGTTGCACCCCCACTTTTTTTCACTTTTTTTTCTCTCTCATTTTCTGCACTGCCATCAAAACTTCACCATCGCCAATCTGATGGTCAATTTTTGATGATCGTCAATTTCTGCGTTGCCATTAAAGAATTGATCATCACCAACCAACAGCTGGAACACCGTTTTGGATGGGTATTGGTCCTACGGTCTCCTACCCACTTTGCATCGCCCATGGGAAGTGGGTGTCTAAATTGCAAATGGGAAGCTGCGCTTCACTCATCGTGACTGACCCATCATTGTCGTCTCTGAGCTTCCCCACCGAACCGCACCATCATCTGCCATCCCTCCATTGGCAACCTCCTGTCGCACCTTCAGCATCCAGTGCAGAAGAGGTTGAGTCAAGTTTTCGCCGTCTTTGTCGTCTTCTCTCCTTCGCTGTTCTTCTTCTTTCTCTTCGCCTTTTCCTTCTCCCTCTCACAAGAGAAAGGCAGAGTGTGGACTACTACTTCCGAACATATTCCACTTCTTCCTCGTTCTTGTCACAGAGAGAGAGAGAGAGAGAGAGAGAGAGAGAGAGAGAGAGAGAGAGAGAGAGAGAAGGAGGGG